CGAGGCAAAATATGTTAGACTTCTGTTAAAGATTACACCTTTAGGCAGAGCGGGTATTGCATAATTTAAAGCAGCACTGGTTTGGCCAGCTTGCTGCTTCAGCGGAGCAGGCTGGGAACAGGTCGTGCAGACCTCTGCCCAGGCAGGGGGTCAGCCGTTCGGCATTTGGGCCGTCATCCGCTAAAGCAGTCAACAAAAGATGATGTTTGATCAAGCAGGCAATTTACTCTGCATGTTTTCCTTTGATCTGTTATATCAAGGGAATTTGAATGTGAAGAAATAACATGTTTAACCGAGTTGTTTTCTAAAAGTGAGGAGGAACCAAAAAAAAGGCTGGACATGATCTACGAGGGTGAAGTAACTGCAGTGGACTGAATAAAGCAAGCTGAGAGATTGATGTTTGGGTTTAGGTGTCCCAGTGGTGTCTGTCTCCTAGACAGCCTCACCCTTTCACAGTCTTACATACCAACACAGTCTGAGTATAGAAAATGAGATCTCAACTTCCACAAGAACTCAGCTACCCACTTCTTCACACATTTTCAATGGCAACCCCAGCAGCATCTGTGGGTGAAAGCCAGGCTTAAAGCTGAAAACTCGCCCAGCTACCCCCCCTAGCACAGAGGCAGGGAAGGGTGCCTCAAGGCATTTTACATTTTCATACTGTTTGGGGAGTGTTGCAACTGCAACTTAGTCTGTAAACAGTATCTCCCATCATCCTTATTCCTCAATAGTCCTTACGACATATATGCACAAGGTCAAGGAAAGATTCCTGACACTTAAGTGTAGAAAATAGGAAAGAGATGATTCTTCCCCAGCTATTTGTTTGTAGAAGAGTCTATCCACTTGTGTGTCAATGCTGTTGCTGTCAATCCTGAATCAACAGTCACTGTGAGACAAGGATTTATTGCACTGGGGGCGTGTGCATGTGAAATCGATAAAAAAAATAACAAAGTTCCCAATACTGGTCAAAGTTGTAAAATGGTGAAATCTGAGAGGAATGAACAAAGAATAAACACAGATAACAGACACAGCAAATCTATATAAAACATTTTTGTGATTTATCACATGCTGTGCAACAGGAAATGAAGTGTTTTCTTCTGCCTTGTTCCATGATAGCTTTACAGTATTTGAATCGAGTCATTGGATCCAACTTTGATTACAGCAACCAAGCAGAACGCCTTTTATAATCTTGTAATGATTTGAAAGAGATGCATTAAGATCAAGGTGAACATTTCTGAGGTTTTCAAGAAGCTATGAAGACATTGTCTGCAAGTTGTTCTGAAAAAACCGCAAAGTAACCAGTGTCTACTGTTTTCTTTCAAGGCAAAGAGCAATGTATCTTCATTTAATAAAACAGGTCAGGCTGCAACTTCTCGGCTGAAAAATGTCACCATAAATCATGTAACAGTACTAGACCTCCTTGATCCAGCTACTTTGCTCTGGTAAGCAGGATGCAAAAAAAATTTTTTTAATTAAAAAAGTACAACTATCAGTTTACCAAGCTTTAGTCTGTGACCTGAAAATAAATTTCAGCACAGCTCTTGAGGGCCTGTTTACTCTCAGACTGCAATGCAACGAGATTTCCAGCTGCACTGGGGTTGAAGTTTGAGTTTAGGTGGAACCCCACCACGACAAAGTTCAAGCTTTTATCACACAACTGAAATCATACAGGCTCTACACAGCAATCCAGGCTGTAAAGTGTCAAGCTACTTCACTTATTATTTTTACACCGCTGCCTCATTGTTTAGCCTTGATTAGCTTTCCCAGACTACGTAAATATGCAACCTTTTGCAAACATAGTGCTTTTTCAGGAATCTTCTTCAGTCTAAATGATCCATCCCCACAACCGAAAAATCATCCTGAGCTAGAAGAGGACCTCAGAACTTCTCATGTGTGAGAAGTTTTCACAAGAACAGTGCATTGATACATTCTTAATGTGACAGAAGAAAAAGGGAATGTGACAGATGCTTTGCACGTACCTTAAACAGCTATTTGTGAGATGATGGTACAGCACAGAATATAAAGGTCTTTAGCGCTTAGTCTGGATTCACGAGCTAAGTGGGAATCCAGCGATTACTGACAGACAAACCACAAATCTGGTAAAATTGCCTTTATTTTATTTACAATCAAACTAGAGCCTTAGTTCTTTTCCCAGTTTTGCCCAAAATGGCCTTATGCAACTGCTTAAGTCACACCCTCAACGTCAGTTGAGTCAAGGCTATGCTCAAGTCCAGCTTTGCATGTCGCGACCTGTGTCATGAACACACAACTGTGAGCTCAAACATCGGTTCAGATTAAATCCTACAATATTGCCTGGGAGGAAGGGTCAAGCTTTACCACGCGCTGCCTATCTTCATGTAATCTACTATCAACGAGAGACAAGAACATGCAACGTATCTCTGGTTCGATCCACTTCTGCAGAAGTGGTTTGAGGCCCCAAACCCCACAGCAAACAAAACTCAAAGTGCAGAATCATAGAATGGTTTGGGTTGAAAGGGATCTTTGAAAGTCATCTAGTCCAACCCCCCTGCAACAAGCAGGGACATCTTCAACTAGGATCAGGTTGCTCAGAGCCCCGTCCAGCCTGACCTGGAATGTTTCCCAGGGATGGGGCATCCACCACCTCTCTGGCAACCTGGACCAGTGCCTCACCACCCTCAGCGTAAAACATTTCCTTGTATCTAGTCTGAATCTCCCCTTGCTTAGTTTAAAGCCATTCCCCCTTGTCCTATCGCTGCAGGCCCTACTAAAAAGTCTGTCCCTATCTTTCTTATAAGCCCCCTTTAAGTACTGACAGGCTGCAATAAGGTCTCTCCGGAGCCTCCTCTTCTCCAGGCTGAACAACCCCAACTCTCTCAGCCTGTCCTCATAGAAGAGATGTTCCATTCCTCAGAGTATTTTTGGGTCCCTCCTCTGATCCCGCTCCACCAGGTCGATGCCTTTCCTGTGCTGAGGTACAGAAAGGTTTGACTTGAGGCTAGGGTATTATTGCCTTTAAAAACCTGCAGAGTTAAGGCACATGAAGGCTAAATGACGAGTTCTGACTCATACTGCGTGCCAGAACACCAGACCATGCAGTGCGCGGGCATGCGTGCATCCAAATGAGACCCCTCAGTACCTGCTCGTTCACAGCTGGGAAATATACTCACAGGGCACACATCTGTCTTCCTTCTGTCCGAGGGGAAGAAGAAAGGGAAGGACACAAGCCAGGAACCAGCCCACAGGCAGAATGAAGACTGAATAATTGGAGAAAGAAAAAAAAGAAATAGTTCAAGAATAAAATTCTTTTGCATTAAATAATTTCAAATGTTTAAGGGAAAAAACCTGAGAACATTACTTTCTTCTTTCCAAAATGATGGTGGTTACTGTTTCTAAGCTTCAGTTAAAAGCTTATTAAATTAGAGGGAAAAAAAAAATCTGTGGCATCTTTTTTCCTCTCAGCATCCAGGCAAAGTAGGCTACAAAGCCCTGTCGTGAGACAGTGAACACGTTTTTCATGACTGAGTATTCAGACATTATTTGAAACTCTCATCCATGATGCTAAAAGGTGCCCTTAACACAGCTAAAAATACACTTTTTAAGAAGGCCCAACCTACTAGTGAAGTCCCAAGCCACATGCGTCTTTGAGGAAAGTTTCCTCACGGCAAACGTTTAGATTAAGCCATTCAAGGTCTCAAAAGTACTATTAATCATCTTGCTTATTTGAAGAAATAGCATTATTGTTCTTCCCGTGTTGCCTAACCCTCTCAGTGCCTTTTGAAAAAGCTGAGTTTTACTGTATAATACTTGCCATGGTCAGTTTAGCAGCACAGAACATAGGTCATTTAAGCACAACTACACTGAAATTGTGAATTTTCAAAACAAAGGTAGCTGCCGAAAGTACATACTACCTACCTAACCCATTCTATGTCTTCTCAACATTACGGCACACAATGTTTCCTCTCTCTTCCTCATTTTCTAATGCTTTATTTTTTTCCTGACTTGACACCAACCAAATTTCAGCCTAACCTCTACTCTAAACTAGTATAACTTACAGTAGAATTTATTAGTGATAATCATTTACGGGCACAGTCGGATGAAGGCCACCTGGACAAAATTAAATAGCTGTCCACGTTAGTGGACATGTCAATAGTGTCCAACACTCTACTAAAGCCTCCACAAGGTCATGTCACAGCACCCTTTCCACCACATGGTCAGTAGGTGTATTTATCCAGTTCCGTAAAGGTTACCCTACAACGTACAACAAGGCAGGAGGCACACAGTTCCTCACCGTGAAACAAAAAGTAGTGATTTAAGAAAAAAGTAACTGCAATAAGAAAAGCAGAACTGAACACTTGGGTAATATCGACGGTAGAATAAACCTCTGTACCGACAGCTTTTTGAAAGGCTATATGGTAGCTTTGAGACACTTCAAGTGCTGTATTTCAACTCTATATACTCTGATAAACTATTAAGAGCTGCCCTTCACTAAAATTTGAGTGAACTGTGATGAAAAACCAGATAACCTTGTGACAATTCTGTAAATTGCCACCAAAGTTTTTAGATAAAAAATAACAAAAGGCTTTTCAGCAAGTAGCAGCTTAAGTAAGGCATCATCAACAAAACCCACAGTAAAGCAGCACAGCAACTTTTTCCCCTTCGTATGGTAGACACAGTCGTAGGCACTGCTGTACCACAGACATGAGCACCATTCCCTTTTCTGAAGGCTCAGGAAATTAAGGAGAAGGTTCCCAACAAGTAATTTCACATATCAGAGCTGAGCAGAATTTAGTGCTTGGCCCCGACACATGAATTCCAAGCGTCAGCCTTGAGCCCAAGGCTTTTGTTGGCAGTCAGGGCCTGCACAGGCCAAGTAACTAAGTGCTGAAATAGCTACCGATTACACAGAACTTCAACAGCTTCTGCACAATCTCCAAAACCAGATGAAGGTATGAACTTCCTAGATTAAAATAAACTATTTGAAAACATTCACACAGAAAAGAGACAACACGTTGCCAAGAGATTTTTAAATTCAGTTTTATTTCAGAAATAAAAGAAGACGACAATAACTCATTTAGCAGACACAACCAAAATTAAAAGCTAAGCCTTGCTTATTCTTTTCCAAAACTCACTAGGATTCTATGTTCCAGCAATAAATATTCCCACCCATTCACGTAGCTCTTTCAGCTCCTACCTGCCCGATCAGGTAAAAATCCAACTGAATCCCAGAACAGAGTAGGCTGTCAGTTCGTATTATTTTACTGCATCTGTATCACAGCCAATTTTTCACAATAGGTTAAGAGATAAATGAGTTGGAGAAGAAGTAGCTTTCTACAATTTAATGGAACAGTACTTTGTACATACTCTTCTTTATCTATCTGCCATCACTTCTCGGAATGCCAATTCACACTTAAATGCCAAATCAGGAAGCAATCCTATTCAAAAGACAATTCAAGACAGACCCAGAAATGCACCGAATATTGAAAAAACCACACATTTCAAATCACAGCAGGTATCACATTTGAGTTAAGAGCTAGTAGCTGGGCTCCAAAATCCTTTGCATCATCATTCATACTTTTTCCAACCCAAATTCTAATGAGGCAGCATCAGCAGGCAAACAAGGTAAGCAAATACTTCAAATGAGGGGTGATGCTGTGCAACTAAGATCTAGGCTAATTACACAGACACACTGATCTTTCTCTTTGGCAAGGGAAGAGGAACAACTAACAGGCAGAGCAGTTAAAACTTGCCAGGACTTTAGATGCATGAATCGGGTTTTATACACGTATCTAGCTATAGATACCCACATCCATACAAACATGCCACTTTAATTGAAGTCTAACTCTGAGAACTAGCTTTGGCTTGATCAATAGATAGCAATATCAGATTATGGCAGTAAAACAACAGAATTTCAGGAACCATTGGGAATAGTTTTGGAAGTGCTTGAGCTTGAATTTAGCCAAGATAAAAATATTCATGCATTTGGAGGTTAATTTCTCAGACACTTGGAAAATTAATAGTTTTCTATTTAAAGTCTTACAGATTAGAAAGAACAATCCCCCCCCCTCCCCCCAACAAAGAACTGTAAGATGTAATCAATTCAGTTGTAAAGTGTACGTAATAAGAAAATATCCTTTCCTATCTCCCTTAGGTCAGTTATATCCAACCTAGCATTAGTAAGCAAAGATTATCTTAAAATTTATATTGGGAATAAAATTTACCTCGATTGAGATTAAACTTTCTAGTTAGCTTAATTTCGATCATAAGGAATGAGACATAACCAACATTTTACTTGAACTACTGCATATCACTTTACTTCTGGAAGGCCAAATATGAATTTCAAAGGAAGTGTCTACAAATACATACAGATAACTATTTTATTAGCAATATTGGGCGACATCAACTTTTTAACATGAACAGGTTTATCCATAAGGATAATCACAGTGTTATTATAGAAGTTCTATTGTGTGATTGAGCCAGGAAAGTTTTACAGTAAAAAAACCCGAAACAGTATTTTGATTAAACTTGTATTTGCTTCTAGAAATGAAGACAATTTTTAATCATTAATTTCCTTAAAAACACTGTATGTTGTTAACAAGCAGTAAAGGACTAGCGTTGAAAGGCACTAGGATTGTTAGCTTGTGTTACCTAGTTTCCAATACAGATACAGGCACTTGCAAGCTTAATAAACCAAGCCTGTAAAACACTTCTATATTTGTGCGGAAGTCTGTTACATTCATTAACATCTTCAACAGGTTGTCCTGCAGTTATATGGACGCAAAATTCATCGAGTAAATCTCTGCAGCACGCTTCACAAGTTGGATCTTTCTTTGGCAGACACACGAGAGGTGGACTGTGTATATGTCCTAATTACATCCTAAAAAAAAAAAAAAAAAAAAAAAGAGAAATATTCAGAGCAAGTTCCATTAGAAGTAGTTAGGGGAACTTCAGAAAAAAAATGAGTACTTGAAGCAACAACTTTGTTATTCTGTGTAGCAAGCACTGAGCCCAGGAAAGGCTTGTGGAAATGTTTCATTACCATTACACAGAGTGGGTAATCATTTGGTCTGAAGAATCAACCTGAGCATGTTGCATATCATGTACAGTTATCTTCCAGAAGCCTTACAAAAACCCAACTGAAACAAAGTAATTGTACATCACTGGTTAATCAACATTTAATTACATGTAATTGGAGTGATGTTTCCTCATTTTGTAATTCTACATGCACTGACTTCTGCCATTTAAACCAAATGAGAACCAAGACCAATTTCTCACTTTGTCAGCTTTACAAAAGAAGCTAAGATAATTCACAGCCAGTCAAAATTCAACTACAGAAATCATTAGCATACATTTTTCCCGCTGTCAGCATTGTATTTGTCCAGCAAAGCCTGAATACGGGCACCATAGTCAGGATGAACATCAGTGAAGTTTTTCACCTGAACAGGGAGACAGAACAGAAAAAAGGTAACAAGAATTTCTTCCTCCACTTCAAATGCATTCTTTAACACATTTTCCACTCTGTGGTCTACGAGCAGTACATATCATAAAGAAGAAAAGAAGGATGGAAACCCTTTTCTGAAAGTTTAATTCTGACCAGCCAGAAAGGAGCTATGAACATCTTCAAACACTTTCTCACACAGAGCTCTTTCCCAATTTAAACAAAGTTCCACGGGCATGGATAAAGATCCAATCCCTCCCTGGCCCTCGCTGCCTTTTCCTTGTTTAGAGCAAAACATTACACTGGCAGTCACCTGATTTTTTGAAACACCAAGCTAAACACATAATGACATCCTTGATGTTCAACATCAGTCCCATTCTTCCCATCAGGAATAAGTTACTTTAACATGTTATACGTTATTTTTATTACATAAGGATGCACATATTTAAGTGTTCTGTGTTGATAATTCCCGCATAAGAAAAATCTAGAAGTTGCCTTCTCAGGGAAGACTTTCTGATCTTCCTTTCCATAAGCATATTGCTATTTTGACGAAGTTACTAGACTGCAGGAAAACCTGAAATAAAGAACAAAGGCTAAAAACCAAACAGGACACTTACAGCTCTCTTCTGAATGAAGAGTTGCGCATCTTTAAGATGATCAGCAATATTTTTACACAGCCTTTGGCGTTCATCCTCCTTCAGCACTTTGGTATAGAATTCTCGCACCTTATGATTAGAAACAAAGTTTTATTTTGAAATTCCCAAAAGCAAGTCATTCTACCTGTAGCAGCCAATAATACTTATAGACTTTTAGGATTCGTTATGACTGAACAAGAATAGCTTTCACTTATTAGTCAGGCAACACTTAAAATACTCAAAATACTTAAACTCAAAAGGCAACCAATTTGTGGGGTTTTTGGCAAACCTGCTAACAACTCTCTATGTCTAGCTTGAAATAACTGTTGCTTATTGAATTAATGAAAACGAATATTGCTGTTGGAGTCCAATTCAGGAACTGATGATCATGACATTACACGCATGCTCTAGTTTGCATACCTGCAGACACTAATCGCAACAAGACAAAAGTCACAACCTCTAGATATCTGTGCTCAGAATATGGATGGCAAAAGTCTATGAGAATTCATTAACTGTTCTGTGAGCAAAAATTCACTTATTCATTAAATTAAGCCATATGGAGACCTTCCAAGCTCTCATGAGAGCTGAACTTCAGGTTAGCCCAGATGCTTCAGAGAGAAGCCATGTTTGAGTGATTCTTATTAATATTCTCTAGAGTCATGCTATAAACTCATCTTATATAATGAGCAATATAAAACCTTTTCATACATCATACCTGAGTCACATTATCTTCATTTGCACTATTGAAGCGCTGCACATCTCCCGAAACGGACATGCGGCTCTCCTTTACCATGGGCTGATCTTCCGGACCAGTAAAACTATTTGGATAATAGTTTGGGGCACCACCTGAAAACAAACAAAAAAGCCCCCACAAAACCAAAACAATCAGATGCCAGCTCCCTCAGATTAAGTCAGAAGACGTTCTTTGCCTAGAAGAACCTAAATCAATTACCCAGTTATGATTCACTTTATTAAAAACAGTTGTCAGTATTTTTCTGTCAACATACAGCTCAACATCAGGAGCTGTGTCTTCAAGCCAGTACTTAACAGCACTTACTACAAACAAGAGTTTCAATAGCTTTTTTGGGGAAAAAAAGATTTGTTTCAGAAATAAGGAGGTCTGGCCACTCTCACAACAACATTGCTCAGACAATTTTAATAAACAAAATCATAGAAGTTATTCAAAGTTTTAGTCTAAGGCAGCATAAAAATACACTTTCATCTGTGTATTTGAAGTACTACTCAACTATATAGGGGGGTTATTTTAAACACACAGTGAACTTACAGAACTGCATAAAAATACTTATTATCTGTTCTCGGACAGAAGCAGCTGTTCTCAGGTTCTCATTTCCCAAATACTTCCCTCTCCTCCCTCAGCACGTATTAGAATTCATAGCCCAGAGGAATACAGTGTTTTTGGCACGAGGCATAGCTTAAGTATATCCTTGTTTACTCTCAGGTATAAAAGACTCACTATTGGGCAAACACTGACAGAACATAACCTGCTGAATAAAGGCAAAGTTAAAGCTCTAGTCTTGGCATTTATACTCTTGCCTTTCGCAATCAAGTGGACTGAGTATATGAAAGTCAGTCTTTAAATTTAAAAAAGGCAAACAGATTTCTCAAAGACATTTAAGCCATCTCTATTTTTAGAATAGATTTTTGCCTAGAAGTAGAAACAAAGAGGCAATAATTAACTTCTGTGAAACCATTCCTCAGGCATATTTCTTCGTTTTAAATAAATAATATTCTAGAACTTTTTCAATTAAATCCCCTTTAACAAGCATGTTTCTAGAAGTCTTTAAAGAAACATAAACTAGGGACATAACTGAATTCATTTGACTGGGTATTCTCCTGCAAACCCCCTTTCTCTTAAAGGCCTATTTATAAATTTTTAAACACATCTTAAGCTTCATTTGGTTTTAACACTTTTAAACTCCCCACCCCCTGTCCAACATTCAAACAAAGTCTCCTCTCCTGGATTAATAGAAAAGAGATATACCCATTCGAAACAAGTATGTGAAGATGACAAACATTCTACTTTTCAGGAACCAAGAAGAAAACCCCCCTTCCCCCCTCCCATTGTTTGCAAAATTAAAAATGAGTCTATTTGCAGCAAGTAGAAGTTACATACATAGAACTGAAAAACACTTATAGTTAAGACACTATCAACTACTTCACACAAGGCTGAAGTTGTACAAGTAACATCTATGTGCTTCTTTTGAAGTCTTAAAAAAAGATGTAGAAAACGCATTCTGTGATCTACACAAGCATGCTTATGTTTTACAGCAAAGTTTTGATTCTCAATACTTGTACAAGACTGACAAGAGACATACAGTGGATACACAAATAAGAGCGATGAAGGCAATACAACATATTCAGATTTAAGAATGCTTTCAATAAGATCCCTCAAACAGGAGATAACAGGATACAAGCCAGTATCTTGTCAAATAGCATCATATCAAGAACATAGGAAACAGAGGAATAAAAGGTCACTTTCTGTATTAAGAAGAATTAATCGGGCAGACCCTCCTCAGTGATCTGCGTGAGGACTAGTACTATTCAACACATTTCATAAAGTTACCTGAAAAGGGAGCAAATAATAAATTGACAGCTTAGTCTCTGCAAACTTTAACTTAGTCAAAATCAAAGTTGGCTATTTATACTGACACACGATCTCACGATACCAAAACAGTAGATGAAAACTGCTTTTCTGAGAACAATTTTATTTGCCTTGTAATTCACATGGGGAACAGAAACGCATGCAACTTTATACATGCACAATCATAGGTTCTAAGATATGCCACTCCCTATTACAAAATAGACCTTGAATTCATTTGGATAGTTTGAAGTAAATTACTTTTTGATTGCTGGTGAGCGCTGAGTTAAGAGTATTAGGAACGGCACATGGACAAATTTAGGGCACTCTACAGAAAAGAGCATATGGTGGATTTGTAACAACTGCAGGTGAGGCCAACTAATCATAAAATCATAGAATAGTTTGGGTTGGAAGGGACCTTTAAAAGTCATCTAATCTCAAAAAGGATCTAGTAATATAAGGGAAGGTACTAAAAGGTTGACAAAGATTATGAGAGGTAAGGAACAGTTTTCACATAAAAGGAAAAAAAAACAGGTAGACTGGGAAGTCTGAAGCTCAGGAAGTTATACAGTGAGAAGTTTGCGTCGGGGGGAAGAAGTCACAAGAGACACTGAATGGTTCAGGAGAAAAAGTAGCATTTCTCACAGTATAGTAAGTTAGTAATACCCAATAAAATGATCTGTTCAGCAAGTATCTTAAATCTCCTGTGAACAGAAAAGAATTCTGCAGTCCATGCCTAAGTATCATTATATTTAAAGATATTTTCATTACTACCTTGGTTGTCAGAAACGCACATAGGTCCATCCCGCTGGTAATTGGCCACACGAGTTCTGAAGGGGCAGTTCACAGGAATTTGTAGATAGTTAGGTCCCAGACGGTGTCTATGAGTGTCAGGATATGAAAAAAGACGACCCTAAAACATTTATCACAAACATTAACTACTACTTGCTGGAAGACATCACTTAAGTGGTATATCCCAATTCAAAGCATTATACATTAAGTAGTAAAAGGGAGAAGACTGTTTCCTTTGCGTATATATTCTTGACATACTTCAAATTATGTCCAAAGTGACATTCAGCCACAAACTAACTTTGCTGGAATACCAGTGAAGAATAGCAGGTTGAGTTGCATTTACGCAGCTTGGGTATTCCCTACCAATTTCAGAATGCTAAACCTGTTCTGAAGCATGGTTACACATGTAGAGATGAAAGTGGCTATAACAGTGCTAAATATTACTAAGGAATAATATAGTGTTTTCCTACTTACTTTCAAGCTTAGATTTAAAAATTGATTACATCTGAAAAATGGTAGTCCTTTATTTATTTACCTAACTGAATCTGAAACAGTTCTATTGACATCTGGATGCCAAGAAAACAGACTGATTCTGACCATGAAGTTTGTGGGAGCAAAGAGAGACAAAACAGAAGAACTGCATGATTATTCAGGAGTTTATCCAGTTAGAACTGTCAAAATACCTTCTTGTTTCCATGGATATAATTTGAAACAACTATCTGGTTCTAATCTGAAAAAGCCTAACATGCAAACATCCATGACTCTGCAGACAGTATAGTCTACTGAAGCCAGTCTTATCAGGTATTTTGACCTGTAAGAAATCTGATACTACTTGTAAAGCACAGCCTTGCAGTTTATATCAGGGATTAGTTATATCTGTATTTTAGAGCATTTGAAGTCCACCCCTTACACTCATAAGAGTTTATAATTCTAAGATACACTGTAAAAGCGTGAATAAATACGCACTGCTGCTATGGTTTTATCCCGCACTTCTTGCCAGACTGACAGATTTCCCCATCAACTTTGACAGTTGTTGCAGATGCCCTCTAAATTCTAGATTTTCTATTCCTTTAGCTCTTTCCTGTTGTCTTTATATTTAAACTTTGGATGAGCACATCAAATGGTGATCACTAAAAACAACTACCAAAAGAAAAAGAAAAATCAGTTGCTTTCCATCTGTCAGGTTATTTTACTGCTGCTACACAGTGCAAGGAATGCTTTCATAAACAGCAAAGCAAATGTAATGCTCTTCAGGTAAAATCTTATGTGCATTGTAATTTACCTGCAGCATTTTATCAGGGCTAGGTTCAATGCCAGGTGGCATGTTGCTAGGATCATATGCCATCTGTTCTACCTCTACAAAGTAATTGACAGGATTCCTGTTCAAGACAAGCTTTCCCACAGGGATAAGAGGGTAGTCACCATGCGGCCAAATCTGTAAGACATAACACACATACATTAAAATCAACATTATTATAGTATTATGCAGCTTAAATAATAGATCAGGCAAATGCTGCCTAGTAAGGTCTTGTTTGAGAAATACATTACTAAAGAAATTTATTTTTTGCTAACAAACATTTTGAGAAATGTCTTATTTTAAGAAGTCTTTTGCAATCAATACAGATTATTAATGCAACTTATTTCATCATCCCAGCATAATCTCAGCACTTTAGTATTTAAATGAAATACCCACAGGCACTTGAAAAAGTGCCTAGGAATGCAATATCGTAGGTGGAACTGGTAGCACGATTGTTTTCAGCTACTTCAAAATGCAACCAGCTTAACTAGCCTTTTCTTTGCCATCTTAGCCTGTACTTTCAAGTTCAGAAGTCTTTAGCCATGTTGGGAGAGCAGTATTAGAGGGAAAAAAAGAGTAATACAAATTTATGTTAGTGTCTTTCAACAAGCCATTCCTTGGAACAGCAATTGGAAGTCTGACAAAAATCAGACCAACAATCAGAAGCTACATTATCAACAACGCTTAAAACTAGCAAACTCAGGGTGTGACTGTATGATCTGAGATCACGCCTTGGAAACGCAGTGCAGTTGTAATCTACAGGCCTGGAATCAAGCCCTATCCATTTTTCACTGAGGAAGAGTAACATCAGATATAATATCAAGATTATTTCATCTCCAGAATTTGACTCATCATGACTATATAATAAATAGAAGGGAAGAATGAAAAGGACAGACTAACTTTATCGATAGGGACTAGCAAGAAAACAGTGCTACTCCATGGAAACGGTTACACTTTTTTTTATAGATAAGCTCAGTTCTGGCATTTGCTACATTTTGATCTCACAACCTTTCTTAAACTAGCTGACATTGAATATTCACAACAGTATCAGCGATACCTTAGTTAAATCAAAAGGATTAAATGGAAACTTCTCTGCTTCTTCAAATGTCATAACTTGAATGTAGAAAGACCACGATGGATAGTCCCCCTTAGCAATGGCATTGTAAAGATCACGTATTCCATAATCAGGATCAGTAGAAGCCAATCTTCCTGCTTCTTCAACAGAAAGATTTTTGATGCCCTGGTCAGTCTAAAAGCAATAAAAGCAGTAGCACCAGTTACAACATGCAAAAAGTATTACAGAAATCATTAGTAAGAACATACTTTAACAAGATTTATAATCCAAGAATGCAATTGTCCATGTTCCAATCTCCAATAATTTGAGTTCAGAACAATAGTACATTCAACAGCTGCCTTCCAGATAAAAATGAGTTCTCTCATAAAAGTGAAATAAATATGTAATGCTATACCGCAGAATGCAAGACATCAAACTTGAAGGCATGATCCCTGCAGCACATCAAGTAAAAAGGTTTCCCCTCTCCCCTTACAGGACCGAGTGCTCCTTCACTGTCCCATCATCCCACCTTTTCCTACAGCTCACGTGCCAACACAAAGTGATAAAATGGTTGCAGCCCTCAGGGCTGAAAGTTCTGGATTCTACATGAATCTCAATTTCCCACCCCCCACCCCTATTTCTGTGACATCTTTAGCACTAACTAAAATCTCACTTTAATAAGCTTTTGACAGCGTGAAAGCTAAAAGCTGCTATACAATCCCTCTTAGTTTAACATAATATTTTCTGAAGTCTTGCTTCAAAGGTAGATGTCCAGCCTCCACTAAAGTCTAATGAGGTAATAAGCTGTATGGCCTTTAAAGCTTCAAAGGGAAGTTGTTTTCAAGCAAGATGTGCTAGAGACTGCTTTCCTCACTAAAGTGTGGAAGTTCTGTGAGGTTCTGTGAGCTTCAGCTGCAGAGCTCTTGGAAACAGAGTTTTTATATTTTGGTATACAGTTGAGGCCATCTTAAAAATGCTAGATCAATGCAGCTCATATCCAGAAGATAAACAGGAACAAAAAAACAGATCCAGACTGAGAGAACTTTTACCTGAAGAAGCACCTGTTGAATCCGAACTACTGTGTAGCCATGAACATAAGACAGGAACATATCACACGCTGAATAAAACACATTTCCAAAGGGCTAGAGGATTCTTGCATCTGCACTGAATGATAGCAAAGGAGTCTGATAGGAAGTTCTTGCACAGCTTCACGCCCAAAACACCTAGCAGTATGAGGCTGAAATGCAATAAGCTGAGCTAGGTGCTCAGAGCTCACCACACAAGTAAACTGAGTTCTCCAATAACAAGAGACAGTTCTCCAAAGAAGAGTTTTTCGTAGTCTAGTAAGTACCTACCGTGTCATAGAAGGAACAATGATGTCCGTCATATTTGTTAAAGGCATGCAACTGATATAAAAGCCACACACACCTTTTTGATTGAGCCTATGCACTAACAAGTCTTTTCTTAATTAAACTTGAAAAGTCACAGAACATTTTTAGACCACCTGTTTAAACTGGTTTTTATCCAATAAGATGTATACTTCCAATAGATAACTGGAAAAAAAATATCAATACCTTCACATGGAATTTGCAATAAACTGCTCTTCCACCAGCATTAACCAGTTTAAAAGTATGTGAGCCGTATCCATTCATATGGCGATAACCATCAGGAATACCACGATCACTGAACAAGAAAGACACCTAAAGAGAAAGATCAAACAATATTAATGGACTCACCAGATCAAGGATAAAGCGACCATTTGAGACAAAGTGAGACAAAGTTTGTTTATTGCATTAATCTGCATCACTGGAACCTATCTTAATGTTACAAATTCCTTGAGGAATTTCTAGTTGAAGTTTTAAGAGCGTTAGTGAAATAAGACTGCTTTGGTTTTGCACAAAGAACAACTGTGAATTAAACCTACATGAAGTTTTATGCCCACAGGAAATATCTGGTGAAATAGAAGACATTAACCTAGTGATAATGTTATGATTTCCCCTATAAGCACAGAGCAGGTAAGCATAGATAATTTAAGTAACAAATAAGAATTTTTTCCAGGTTAAAAATAAAATCTGAAAACTGAATTCCTTAACAACTAGTTCTTCAGAGTCTTCAAGCAGTAAACATACCACCCATGCAAACATATTCCAAATGCTGCTTTTCTTTAAGTTTATGATCACAAACAATGCTTGTGGTACTTCTTTTTCCAATTAGTAATTACTGGAAGGCTTCTGTATGAACCCATTTTCTTTTAAAAAGAAATACAGCTGCGTTTTTAATTTTATATTAGCTTTTTTTGCATAATATTCTTAGATACAAATACATTTCAGAATAATTAGAATGCACTGTGAATTCTAATAAGTTTTGATCTAATGTGCCACACAATATACAGCTTTAAATAAATTTATATGTGATAGCATTACTTTCCCAGTATTTTACTGTTCTGTAACATTAACAGTTTGTTGTTCACCAGTACTTCCAGGGCTTTAGTATTAGAAAGCCTAGTAACTTCCTTTTCATCCCTATATAAAGTATGGTTATGAAAACAGAAGAATCCCACCTATTTCAGTCATTAAAAGAAAAAAGGCAAAACTAGATACACATACTAATAGCCTTAAAAGTTATTGGAGGCCTTTCACCTTTATTGTTCCTAGAAGATTATGCAGACTTCTAGATAAAACATGGAATAGAAATAGTTAAAAAACATATGCTGTCATAACATGATTTTCTTAATCATACAAAATCAAGTCAAAAGAGAACCTTACTTGATGCAAGGACTCAGGGCGAAGACTCCAGAAGTCCCACATCATGTCTGGATCCTTCAGATGAGTCTGAGGGTTCCTCTTTTGGCTATGGATGAAGGATGGAAACTAATTTGACCAGAAGTGGAGGAGGGAGAAAGGAGAGGGGAAAAAAAAGAGTTCTGTAATACCTCCAAATTATACGGGGTATACTAAGCAACTCCTGGTACAAAACAAGACAGCTTTTTCAACACACTGAACTGTGAAAGGAACAGCATGCTGAAAGATGAGATGAAGTTGTAAGATCGCTGAAAAAAATCTTCTATTGTCATACCCCTCCTGCAACCAAATTCATTCATAGACCAGTAAAATTAGGGTAAAGTGAAACATTTACAGTTAGGATAAACAGGCTGTTCAAAGCTAAAGAATGCTTTCATTTTGTGACCAATAAAGTGAGAGGTGAATCTTTCCATATTTGTATATCTGAACTTTACTGATTATCTGACTCCTAAATGAATACAGACATACTATAAGATACCTGTGCAGAACTCCTCCACTCAAGGAAAGCCCCTTTACTTACAAAACACTGTTAAACTTATACTAAAAGACTAAAAAAAAAAAAAAAATAAAAAAATCAGATTTAATAAAAAGAATTTGCAAGAAGCTTTTAAAGTGAAAAGTCTTTCCCCTCCCCACCCCACCAAATAGCCTCAGAATGAAAAAAACTCTCTGCAGAGTAAAACGGCTAATTTGAACATCAGTGAAACTGATCAGATCTGAAGTTAAAAACACGAAAATGTACTTACTTGCTGGCTATTCTGCTGCGGCATATGCACTAGCAAACACAACTAAATGTGTGTGCTATTTGTGGTATGAAACCACATAAGTAATCAAGCATTAGTTCTTAATTTTATTTTTAAAATAACTCCTTTTCAAGTCAAAAAATGTTCAGACCATCTAACAAACAACAAAGTTTAAGTGTGTCAAAGCAACAGCTTTTGCTTCTCAGTGAAGCAAGAACAAGATGTGAATGAACTGTTGGACTCTTTCACAAAGTACCCTCATCTTTTGTCCTTACTCACCAACATTGCATCCCGAATAAAGAAGATAGGAGTATTATTTCCCACAAGGTCCCAATTACCCTCTTCTGTATAGAATTTCATCGCAAAGCCTCGAGGGTCACGAACCGTATCAGCTGATCCAGATTCTCCAGCTTGAAGAAACACGTGAACATACAGAAGTGTTATGACAGGAAACGCATACAAATTGTAACTGTAAAAACAGAACTTGAAAGTATGCCATAAAATCCTAAAAGGGTGGGGTTTATTAATTTAAGTCTCTTCTATACCAAGAAGTTTTTGGCATATTTTCAACAATACTTCAGGCACTGGAAGTTTCCAAAGTGTGAACAGCCACCCAAGCATTTGGGCCACAGTTAAAAGAAAGAAAAAACACCCAAGTAAATCCACTTGAACCAATTAAGAGTGGAATTTGCATTATCACTAACAGAGACAACATCAGATTATAAAGCTGAATCACTTAAACACACATTAGTTTCTGTGCATCAACTCCCAGTGTGAAAGCTCTCATTTGGAAGGTAGCAATCTAAATAGCGTGCCTAATAGAAGAGTTCCAACCATTTTAATTCCCCTCCTGCTTTATCCAGTCTTTTTAATGAGTAACTTTATACCAGAGCAAAAGCGCCTACCACAATACCTGAGCAAAAGGGTTCCAGAAGTATTCGGGAACAGCTAATGCTAAACATCATGATGAAGTAACAAGGATGCTCATTCTCTCATTTAAAAAAAATTGTGTATTACAGAATAGCTAGGAAAAAAAACGTGTTCAAACAGAGCAGGGAAAGGAAAGGTAATGATGCAACAACCCACTTCTGCACAGAGTCCACAGATCAAACTCAGCTGCATGTCTTTCCCCTGTATAACGTTCCATGACTCCTTAAGTTTTGGTGACACAGGGAAAAGCCAGTAGGCCAAAACCAGCAGCTCCTTGAGCCTTGTTGGACTCCTTTTTTCTCTCCAATACTACTTCCAGAGCTGAATCCTTATTAGGATTTCTTTTCTTTTAAATACAGATAGAGTAGTAACAGATAGAGTAGTAACACATACATTTTGAAAGATCATTTTTCTGTCAGACAAGATATTGATCATAATGCATGTTTTAACTAATATAATTTAAGATTTTGCTAGTTTATGCATTCAGCTCTTCAAGAAAGAGTTTATTTATGGAAAAAATTGTTTATTCTTCTTTGCCTAGTACTTACTTTACAGCATTCATCCCCAAAACATTCCCACAGCATAAGAGATTATAGGTATTTAACTTTCAAGGGTTGAACTGCAGCATTCAAGTGTTGATTACGATCCATCCAGAAACAAAGAAACTTTCCATCAGAAAAAAAACAGCTCAGGCTATCCTTTCTCTCACATTCCGGAGGGAAAAGTGTCTACAGAGAGCTCTGGCAGAAAGATGCAGAAGCTGCTTAAGGTCTTACAATTTAAATGAAATTCACAGAAGAGGAATTGGTTGGCAGAAAGAATTTCAAACTACCTGAAGTGCTCCACAACACAAACATTGCTATCAGTGTGACTATGGTACACAGGTAAGAAGATACACAGTAACTTTAGAGCCTTACCAACAGTGGAGAATCGTATAGCAATTGGAGTTCTCTTTCCAATGTGTTCAAACACTTTTGCCTTACAATACTCGGTAATATCATGAGTGACTTCAAAATAGCCAAAGGCTCCTGAAATAAAGTAATTTCAAAATATCAGATCTAGATACCTTCCTTCCACTCACAGCGTATCTGTTATTCCATCATGGTCCAACATAGAACTTTAAATCAAAAGGAAACATGAAAATACAAACTCTGTTTAAACTGATGTATCTGTGCACTAACACACTCAATTTATTTTCACAAAATGAAATTTACTTAACACAAACTACTAATTGCATGGTGCTCACCCTCCCCTCCTTAACTCATTGTTAACAGTTCCCAGCAGCAATACAGACCTCAATTCTACTGTGCAAAACAAACAGTAGCTTTTTGGATGCTCTTCTGCCAAGATTTGCATATTTATCTCAGAGCAAGACAAGTATTTCTTTAATCCTGATATGTGTTGCAGAATTTTTGGTCCACCTGTAAGCTGGATGAAGCAACAAAGTTCTTCCCACCCTCACAGAGGAATTATTCCCATGTACATTCACATTATAATAAAATTCAGTCCCGTATCTTCTTCTAGGGCAATACGTAACAAAAAAAAAATCAGAGGTGCTGGTTCTACCCTACTAAGATCAAAAACAATTTTTAAAATGAGTCATTTAAGGTTTTTTTTAATTTAAATATTAGACCATCAGCTTGCTTTGGCAGACAGATACATCAGATGACAAAGACAAGAATCTCCATCAAATAACATGCAAACAGACATTAAAATAGAGATGGGTAAGTCTTCCCTTCCAGAGGAATGGAGTACTATGGAGGAACAGATAGAGGAAGCAGAGATTACAGCAAAGACAGCAAAAAAAAAAAAAAAATCTAAGAGCTAGAAGAACATTTCCCCCCCCCTTTTTAAAAAAAAAAAACAAAACCAACAGTTTTTCAGTGCTTCAAGTTTTGGCATTGAGTTCTTTTAAACCAAGCCTTACGACTGCTGCTGATACATAATTATTTATTATAATCTATAATACTAAATTATAGATAATATGATGCAATTTATCTGTCACAATCTACATGTTAACTCAAAAGGTTTTTAAAGCCTAATTCTACACAGAGAAAAAGTATGTGTTTTTAAACATACCTGCCCCTTTTGCATGCACAACTCTTTCAGGAATCCTCTCTCTGTCAAAATGAGCCATCTCATCAGTGAAAACAACATCTTGAACAAGAAGAGGTCCATATGGCCCTACTGTCAGAATATTAAGCTTATCTCCTACTGGGTTCCCAGCACCGGTGGTCAAGACATCCGGTTTCTGAAAGCGAGAGACAGTCAATATCACAACACCAGAAATTAAAACCCCTCTATATTTAAGCCACACAACATGCACGCCTGTTCAACCATTATGTGTCACAGGACATTAACAAGTATATAGCAAAATGCCCTAGGATTCCAGAACTAGTTACAGAAAATATAGATCATCTACATCACAGTACTATGTTTGGGGCTATTTAAGAAGGGGAGTTCAAGTCATGTATAATCCAAGAATGTTTTCCATGGTTCAGAAATATTACTTAAGACTATGTATGTTGCTTCAAGAAAAATATGAAGTGTCAACCTTAAAACATGAGTTAAGGTTCAGTTTGCCCCCCACCTCAACAGGAGAGGACGGGAAGAGAGCAAGCTAGAAAAGAGTAGCTGCTGGAAAGTAATAAGGGAGAAAGGAAAGGAAGAAGAAGGTATTGTCAGTACAGGGATGGACGCATAAGGAAAGAGCTATAGTCACACAGCATAAAAACTAAAAGGGGTACCCACGATTACCATTGGTCTGGAAGAGCTATGGAAAATAACATAAGCAAGAGCACCTGAGGAATCATCATTCTAGACTCTTGAACCATGGAAGGACTAACATTAACAAAAGCCCTAAGAAGCCCTATTGTCAATAAATGTCCTGTCAAAAGGACAGAAAACCAGAACACTTTTTTTTTTTTTACTAACATCATTATTGCCTTTAAAGAAACTGCCCAAGATAGCCCATACTCATCCTTTTCCCCTCCCTTCCGTACCAAGTTTAAGTTAACCATTCGTGTAAGCTACTTAGAGCTGCAACATTTTGTACAGTAAGAGTGACCCTGTACCTGAAAAAAACAGCCACTCCAAGACAACTTCAAGAAAACACCTGCTGGAACTCTGTAGCACTATAACTGAGCGTACCCCCGCTTTCTTAAAAAAAAATCCCAGCAGAAAAGACTTTGTCTGCATCACAGATGGAGTCATATGCTCCTCTAAGGCAACAGTCCTATTTTACTGGGTACTGTACAAAACGTAGCAAGAAAAGCACATCAGCTCCAGAGACCTGGTGGCTGCAGGTGTCAGTTCTTCCTGGAGCACATTTATTGTTAGGAGCCAGGGCGATGTTTGTAAAGGACTTAGAAGAACAGAACAGAAGTTAGTAAAAAGATGAAAAAAAAAAAGTTTGCAACAGGATGAGCTCAAATATCCGAGTCACAGGTTATGACAAGTTAACATTAAATCCAGTTACATGTTGCACTAAAGTGACGTACATCCATATGGGCTCTCTATCTATACCATCCTACCCTCTTCCACCAGTAGCATCCACGCACCTGAACCGTGAGAAATGCTGCAGGATAAACTCACTCATCCCCTCCTGACTAGTTCTCCTTCTTTTAAAGTTCTATAAATGAAAACGGATGGTGAAGAGAAGGAAAAAGTAACTCTTGATGAGAAGGCTTTCACTATTATATCAGCAACTTTATGGGGTTCCAACTTTTATACTGACAATCTAAGTTCTGCTTTAAGTGTTTTAATTACCGTGAACAGGCAAAAGTCCCATCTGTATCTCATGGAAGAGTATACTTAACTGGACTAGCCTCCAGGTTTTTTTTCTAAGAGGCAACTCACAAAGGCAGGGGAAAGAACAATTATTCATATCTACACTCAGAGTTCTGGATGAGGTAGAGCATACAGGGAGAGTTATAGACACCTTTGTTTAACTCAGGTACATGAATAACCGCATAAAAGACATTTGACAGGATAACTGCATTTCCAATGCGTTCTTACTAATACGCAACACATATTACTCTAGCTGGCTTGAATTCCCAAAATATATAGGTTCTTTATTCTTCATTCACCACTTCATTAGCATAAAGCTATAAGCTATAAAGCTATAAGCATAAATTCAACTCCTTCAGGATGCCTGAAATCCTAACCTGCACTGGAATTTGTACAAGCATTTAAAAAAAGACAGTATATTATCTCCTTACAAACAGGAACATGATGTTCAAAAACTTACAGGAAAGTTACCATTGTAGCTTTATTTAAAATATTCTTAAGTCAAAGGAACAGCTTAAGTCAAAACATTATCTACAGTTTGTCAAGGGAAACATGCAAGAGTAGAAACTGTTCTCAGTATTCTTTCCACTGCCTATATATCACATGCTTCCTACCTTATATTTTGCTCAGTTTTAAATGAGCCAAAGAAAACAATTTCCCTGGTCACTTTGAGAAATCACCTAGTCAGACCTCACGGGAAGTTCTCCCATCCTGAGTCAGTCTAAGAGTTCAACTTCTTAAATTATATCCTAACATGCAGGCCCCATATAATTTAGCACCCTTAAATATGTATGCTTTATTATGTTTTAGCTATCATCTTAAACTAGAAGTTGCTTAAATTACCATTACAAATGAACTTTTTGAATTAGAATTTAATTTCATATATTAAAGTGGAAGGACACCACCATATTCAAGGAACTTTAGGAAAAAGCTCATTTATCCACTCCATGATTCAGTCTAGTAAGTGTAAAATATTCTATTTCAAGATATTCACCCAGCACAAGTTAATGTAATTATATTACCAGCTCATTATCCTGACATATTTTCTGTACTGAGGTATGAAAGCTATGAGCAACCCATCTTGAAACCCATTCTAAGCCTCTGCTTTTAAGAACCCTTTCTTGGAACACGGAACAGTCTGCAGATGATGAGCCTATAAAATGCTCACGCATCACAGCAGTTTTAATTGAACTTTTTGGTCAAGAAATTCCTTTCAGATTTTGCTTAGGGAGAACTATTTTCTTTTTTTTAATCCAGCTTCCAGCACTGCCAATATTTTTCTTGTATTTTCATTAGTTTTGCTGATTAAAAGCTTCAAGATTCTCACAGATGAAACACCTTGTATTAGTTTTTCTAATCATAAATTCATTGATTTTTTTTTTTTCATATTGATGACTGTCATACTCATTCAAGATGGGCAAGCTTGCTGTAACGTGGTGAAAAAGAACAGATCCTATCAATGGCATCCTAAGCTTCTGTATTTTCCTCTCCAACCTCCTTGTGTTGTCATTCATTACAGACATTTCCACCCTTCGGACGTGTTCTACATACACATAGACTTCCGCTTCACCCTCATTCTAAGGCAGCCTGTGACACAAAAACCCTGTGTACAGCTTCAGCACCATTTATGAATTCTGACTACTATAATTCTAAGATAAGCAAACTTGGGAACTGGATTCTGGTAACTCTTTTTTAACATGAAGCATAGCTCTTAAGACCCCTCCAGCCCATACAGTGACTTTTGAAAGCTACTAATACTTATGTCACCTTGAAGCAGTGACCAAGTTTCGCTCAGTCCTTTGAGAAACACAAAAGTTATGTCGAATTAGAGCCCTGTTCATCCTGGAGTTCTTCATAAATCCTAAGCAGTCCAGTAGGTTTAACCATGCAGTGGTAGGACTATAATGCATATACCTACACCTATGACCTTCTCCTCTACAAAGTCCTTGCAAGAGCTTGGTAAAAGACAGAAGAAAAACAAAAAGTGAAACCTTAGTCTTAAGGAGACTTTTTGAGTCCTTTTGATTCACTTATGCCTTTATAATACCTTCCGTGTGATTACCTCAAGGATAGGAAAAAACCTCGCATATTATTTGTAAGCTATGCATGCAACAAAGAATAAAGGTTTGTAGAGGTAATACCACCCTTCTCAACCTAACAGGCTATACTGTTGTCTGAAAACCACTTCTTTCATAATGCTAACATTTAAGACTACTAGAAGTAGTAACTAAAATCACAACTTTTAAAACTAAACCTATAAAAAAAAATAAACAGCTTTGTGGCTGTACAGTCCCTTTTGTGTAGGCAGGCTTTCTGAAAGGTTCTTTCTAGCGTTCACATTAGAAGTACAATTTTTTTTTTTTTAAATGGTAGGATATATTGACTTTAGTTTCAGGATAATGTTATGCGGGGCACACTAAACAAGTTCCATCAGTGTGAAGGGAGAGGAAAAAAAAAACACGAAACCACACAGTAGTTTTAAGAAGAATTCTCATACTACTTTTGGACTTGAGTTTGTTTGATGCCTGTATTTTCATATGGTTGGGAGCTGCATACAGTCAAAACCTTAAAAGATAAGAACTTTTGAATCTGCATGTGTATTTCATTACAGCACTAATCTGCCATGACAGAAAGAAGGGAAACAAAGCCAGGAGAATTTTAGTCACAGCAGTTGTAAATACCATACATCAAAGTACATACTTCCAGGCATTACTGATACTTTGCACCTTATACAAGTCACTTTAAAATTCTAATAAGTCCTCCCTACTTTCTATCTTAAGGTCTCATGACTCCTTATGCAACACAGACTTTGGGTTGCCTCCCAATCTTCAAATTAACCTTGGCCTGTATTCAAATACTGTTTTGTTACAGAAAAGCTGACATCCATACAAAAAGTATTACTCACAGTACAAAAAGAAAATGTTGTGACGCATGCTAGAATATGATGAAGTCACAATTCATCACTGGAAGGTAGTTTTCATACAGTACCTCTTAGAACAGAGGGCAAAAAAATAAAATCAAGATGACTTTAACAACTGCAAACAGTGGGAACTGAGGCACGCACTTGTGTCTTGTAAGACTGCTGCTTAGTATCACCAGCTGAAAAAGTATTTAATGCCAAATACACATTTCTGTCAGAAAATACATAGTAGAAACTGTCACAGTGATTTGATGAAGAAGGGAAATCAACTCTTGCAGCATTTATACATTTACCCAAATATTTTGGGGTATATTCTACATCTTCAGAAGATTTGAGTGCCATGCTGCTGATTATACCTTCTTACAATTTCAGTCAACCGCCTGCCCCAATCCACTTCAACCTGGTAAACAAGTCCCCATGTATTGCTGAATGTGCCTTATCTTTTACATTATTCCCTAGTCACATTTTCACTGGGTTTTACCATTATGATAGCAGAATTGAAAGCGCGAACATCTGATCGAGACGAAAAAAATAATACCTCTCTCTGCCCAAGGACCCACCTGCTTGGGCACACACAAGCCCCATTCCTGCCTAAAAGGAGAGGCTGTGGACAAGGCAGACTTGTCGGGGCAGCCGTGCCAGCAGTGCTGACCGCCCTTATCACTCCCGGCAAGCTGGCAGCCGCCAGCCCCTTCGTGCTTCGGTCTTCCCGGGCACGGCACCAAGCCGAGAGCTCCGCGTTAGGGGACGAGGGCACCTCGCCCTCCACCACTGCCCCCGCGGGGTAACGCGGGCGCCGAGGCCGCCCCCCGGGCCCTGCTCCGTCCGAGCTGGTTTCCGTCAGGTCAGGCGCCAGGCCGCAGGAACCCCCCGGGCTCTGCGCCCTCCAGCACCAGGGCTCACCCGCTTCCCCTCGGCCCCCCTAAGGGCCGCAACGCCGCCCGGGGGCCCATCGTCCTTCCGCCATCCC